AAAATATATATTATGCCAACAAAAGAGAGGGAAAGAAAACAACACTAATTAATTACGGGAGGGAAAGGGCCGTCTCGAGGCTAAAGGAAACGGCCTAAATTTTGTACCCCATACTTTCACACCCTTCTACTATTCAGTTTATTCAAATATCATCCATAACTAATTATATAGGTTGTTTAAGGCCGAAGCTTAAGGAGATGGCCTAAATTTGTCATTTCAATTTCATTTAATATTAGATAAAATAAGCATTGAAAACTTTTTTGGGTGCATATGTCTAAAAGGCCAAGAGAATCAAAACATAGAGATTTGAAATTTAAGTAACTTTCTCATCACCATTAGTTCATTTACCATTTTTTGATATCTTATATAATGTTATTTGTTATTATAAGTTTACAACATGATACATATTGCATTATATAATTGGCTCTTTTTACTCATTATATATTTGGTTTAAGGGAAATGCAAGAAGGGGAGGGGAGGTAAATGGAAGGATGTCATATTTTTTCATTTCTTTCTCTCCATTTGAATAAGTAAAATAATTAAAAGAAAAATAATGTAAATGACTTTCCTCCCCTCCACTTCAATTTTTTTGGTAACCAAATATAGGAAAATTTTTCCCTCGCATCTGCTTAAACCAAATATACTATCAACGTCTACTATATTGTTTATATTCATTCATTTAACAATAAATTAATCTATTTAATACCTCATTATGATTGTAAATTTACAATATTATATAACATTATTGTTATAGCATTGTTGGACCTCATAATGACATACATTAGCTATATAAGGTAAGTCATTAATTCAAATTGAAATCTAGTGCACAATACATTTACACTTATCTACTGTTTTCTAAAAAGCAGAAAACATCATAAATATTTAACCAAAAATCATCTTAACACTTAAGCAAAAGAACTCCTAATCCTCTCTATAAAAACCCTTCTTCTCCTTCAAATCCCTAACACCCAAACCATCACTCTTTCCATTTCCCAAACATGACACTCAGAGTCCCAAAAGATGATGAGGCCGAGTCTATGGATTCATTCTTGTTTGTGTGTGCCAAATGCTTGACCACCTTTCCTTCCTCGGAATCCTTGATCAAACATGAGAAGAAGGAACATGGTGTTTCCAGCTCGAAGTCTTTGAGCAAGAATGAGAAGGAACAGGGTCTTTCCTCAGAGGTTTTCAGAAAGCATGAGAAGACCGTGAGCAAGCATGGGAAGGAACATGGTCTTTCCCCGAAGGCCTTGAGCAAGCATGAGAAGGAACATGGTCTTCCAAACCCGGTGCCACCCATGGAGCAGGAAGAAAGTGATGATGAATTATTGTCTGTTGTAGCCCCTCGCAACCTTATAATTATCCATGATTGGTTTGTTTAGGTGATCCCGCATCTAGGCCATCTTACTTCAGGCTTTGTCCCTATAAAAAAGCCAAGGCCACCTGAGGCTAAGGCTAAGCCACCAAAGAAGAAGGGAACCTCAGCTTAAAGAGGAGAGGGCCATGGAAAACCTAGTAGTAAAAACTAGAGATGTGTATAAATAAGGTATATCTCTGTTGTGTCTTATGGTGTTAATGCTGGTCGTGTGTTATAGGGTCTGTGTTATGGTCATGTAATCAAAGCCATTATGGCTAATATAATATCTAGAGTAATTTCCTTCTGTTTCAAGCCACTCCTCTGAGTCGTCTGATACAAAACACAACCTTTATTTTTTTTATTTTTTATTTTTTTTAATTTCTTTGTTGCTTTAAAGAGTTCAACAAGCTAACTACATGACTCTGTTGGCTTGGGTAACATAAAAAGTTGAGGGAATCTGTTGTCTGCACCCCTTCCGGTGATTTGCCTCGTACTTTTTTTTTTATCAACACCTTTTTCTTCTTTTTTTTTTGAGGGCCAGAGTTGCTTCAAACCCCTGATGTGAAGGGCCAATTACAACTATGGTCATTTCTAAACGACAATATGTTGAGCAAATTTATTATGGAAAGTAGTAATAGATTATTGGCTCAAAAAATGGAATCAAGACTAATAACAACTTGATCAAATTAGTATCTACTGATTTAAAAATCTTAATTTGGAGTCAATGTTAGATGTTCAACCCTCTGTGTTGCTAAGCAACTAATCCTCTTAT